CGATTGTTGCTCGAGGCTGGAGCTGACAAGAATGCGGCGATGGCAGATGGGGCAACAGCCTTGATGCTTGCAGCTGGGAAGGGCCACTTGGAAGTGGTGCGATTGTTGCTCGAGGCTGGAGCTGACAAGAATGCAGCCCGGGCAGATGGGGCAACAGCCTTGATGCTTGCAGCTGGGAAGGGCCACTTGGAAGTGGTGCGATTGTTGCTCGAGGCTGGAGCTGACAAGAGTGCGGCCGGGGCAGATGGGGCAACAGCCTTGATGCTTGCAGCTGGGAAGGGCCACTTGGAAGTGATGCGATTGTTGCTCGAGGCTGGAGCTGACAAGAATGCAGCCCGGGCAGATGGGGCAACAGCCTTGATGCTTGTAGCTGGGAAGGGCCACTTGGAAGTGGTGCGATTGTTGCTCGAGGCTGGAGCTGACAAGAGTGCGGCCGGGGCAGATGGGGCAACAGCCTTGATGCTTGCAGCTGGGAAGGGCCACTTGGAAGTGCTGCGATTGTTGCTCGAGGCTGGAGCTGACAAGAATGTTGCCCGGGCAGATGGGGCAACAGCCTTGATGCTTGCAGCTGGGAAGGGCCACTTGGAAATGGTGCGATTGTTGCTCGAGGCTGGAGCTGACAAGAATGCGGCGATGGCAGATGGGTTAACAGCCTTGATGATTGCAGCTTGGAATGGTTGCTTGAAAGTGGTGCGGTTGTTGCTCGAAAATGGAGCTGACAAGAATGCGGCGATGGCAGATGGGGCAACAGCCTTGATGATTGCAGCTTGGAATGGTTACTTGAAAATGGTGCGGTTGTTGCTCGAGGCTGGAGCTGACAAGAATGCGGCGATGGCAGATGGGTTAACTGCCTTGATGATTGCAGCTTGGAATGGTTACTTGAAAGTGGTGCGGTTGTTGCTCGAGGCTGGAGCTGACAAGAATGCACGGATGGCAGATGGGGCAACAGTCTTGACATATGCGGCTCGATATGGCTTCTCAGGTGGGGCAACAGCCTTGATGCTTGCAGCTGGAAATGACCTCTTGAAAATCTTGGAAGTGGTGGTGCTTTTGTTCCTCGAGGCTGCGGCCCGGGCAGATGAGGCAACAGTATTGACGGAAGGAGCTCGATTTGGCTTCGCAGATGGGGCAACAGCCTTGATGCTTGCAGCTGGGAAGGGCCACTTGGAAGTGGTGCGGTTGTTGCTCGAGGCTGGAGCTG